CTCCATAACATACCCAGCAGCACAGCATCTACGAAAAGGATCACAAAATACCCCCGTAAGTTGAGATATATGCCAAAATGCCCCTGAAAGATGTGGGTAGAGCGGAATGCCCCTCTGACAAAAAAGATATTTTGTGAAATACCCCTGGCATGGCATCTTTGCAATATACACCTACCAGGTGCCGTCCAACTTTGCAAAATGCCCCAGTACTTGCCAACTTTTCCTAGGCGCGATTGCAAAAGGCCAAGGCCCAAACGGGGAGGTCCCGATTGCAAATTTGCGCACCTGCCTGACAGGGGCATAACACAAAGATTTCGGCCCAAAGGGGCATTCCGCTCTACACACATCTTTCAGGGGCATTTTGGCATATATGTCAACTTATGGGGGTAGTTGGCAAATAATCCCATTAAAAAAAGAGGGAAAAAGAAAATCAAAACTCTTTTTCAGTCCCTGCCTTCTATCTGCTTGCACCTACCGCCGCTTAGAGCCTTGCTACACCACTGTGACTCGAAATGGAAAAAGCACGACTACATCTTCCACAGCAAGTGGCAAGATGCGTGACACATGCATCTTGCCACTTTCGCACCTTTTTTGTTTCGACAGTGGTGTGGGGAGGCCCTTAAACCACCAGTACTTTACCCACGCATGCATCTTGCCACCTTTAGCGAAAGATGCACTCGTACCTCTTTTGTTTCGACAGTGGTGTGGAGAGGCCCTTAAACCGCTAGTACACGCCACCAGCCTTGCAGAAGGTTTTTGTTGCCGCAAGCAAAACTCGGAGGTGCCGCGCGGCCAGGCCCGCCGTTGAAAAAAAAAATCGGCGGCCTCCGAAGTGGTACAGGTCTCATGCTGACACGCGCGGGCCGATATGTGGTCTACTGGTGCTTTAAACCACCAGTACTTGGCCCAGCTATAGGCCGTAGAAAAGAAAAAAAGAGTAGGAACGTTTCTAGTCGGATGAATTTGGGCGCTCCTGTAGTGGCCCATACGTTTCCTAAAATTGTAGGGCCTTGTTAATGGGCACGACTTTAGGAAGTACTGGTGGTTTAATGAGCAAACATCACCACTTCCCAAGAATCCAAAGACTTGCAAGTTGCAACAGAGGTCAGCGAAAACTGCAGGTGCCCCCCAATAAATCCTCAACTCCAAGCTCTCTACAACAGTGCCTGAATCAAGTCTATCGAGTTCTATGTAATGAACCCAACTTCAAGAAGCTCACACCATCATCAACATAATGCATGAAGCTCACAGTGCTAAATGTATGACAGGTTGAGGGTTCAAATCCCTTTTTCTGCCCGTCGACTTTGCTGTCTGTACGATTTTGTCTCTGGGACTTGCGAATTTCAAAGAGGTAGCAAAGTAGACTCGTGTCAAGACAAGGATTCCAAGGAAGTGTAGTAGTAGTAGAGTAGTAGTAGTAGTAGTAGTAGTAGGAGGAGGAGGAGGGAGAGAAACTCAAAATAGCAGCTTTCATACAATGGCCACCTCAGCAATCATCCTCCGGGTGCTCCTCCCTCCCAGTATGACCACCTCAGCAACCATCTTCATACTACCTCTCTGCCAATGATGAAGCTAGTACCTCTCTCTCCCCACCACCTGCTGGCCAGTATGCAAAGTCTCTCTCCAATGCGATACCAATCTGGTGCAATGACGAATAACACCGGTGAATGCAATGCTGGCCTTCAGACGCAAAGCGCCTGTTTCGCTTCTTATGGTGGCCAATGCAGTACTGGCCTTCAGACAGAGGTGGCGTGCTGTTTACCTTCTCACAGCGTTGCGGTCGATATATAAGGCAAAGTGAGACGTAAGCTTCTCCCTCGCTTTCCTCTCTGAGCAGAGGATATGGCCTCTTCCTCACACCTCACTCTCACTGTCTCTCAACCCTCACTCTCGCATGCTAAGCTATGGTCCAATCGTGCCAGCACACCCCCTACTCTAGCTATGACTACTCTCAATAGCTGCTCTGTTTCTCTACAGACAGCCTTCCTCGAGCACTACCTTCTTCCCACAAATACAACATACAGTCATTATAGCTGTATTTAGACTGAAAGACACCCCAAATACAGCACTACAACCTTCAGGAAGCATGAGGTAGATTGAATAATGAGCTGGGCTGGTCCAGTTTCTGTCGTGTCGACACTGCCTGGCTGGCCTGGCCTGCCTGAGGTTGGTTCCTCCAATGGATGAGATTTCTTGATCTCTAAGGTGCGGATTTTGTCGTGGCCAGCATGTGCTTTGATCCGATGGCTGAGATTTCTTGATCTCTACGGCCCGGATTTATCGTGGTCAGCGTGTGCCTTGACCCAGTAGGCCATGGAAACTTATAGGGAAAAAAACTGCAACTGGACTTTTGCATTGTGTGAGCCTTGCCCGCGGTTGACTCTGGAGTAATCTTTGAGTCCTTGACTTCTGTGCCCGGGCAGGGCCTGGCCGTTGAATTTTTGGAGCCTAACTTTGACTGTTTCAGGCCCTGGGTGGGGTTCTCAGTTTGCCCCAAGACCCCAGCCCTGTGGACTTAAAGCAGCAGTACATGGCCTCAGGCAAATGGAGAACCTGCTTTGAGCCTCTCCTAAAATTTACGAGGCCGAGCGCTGTACGTAAAATGAATCGGCGGTGGGCAGCCTCCGAAAGGGGCCCATGGCTGATAGGCTGATAGCTGGCATGTACTGGCGGTGGAACTTCTGGGCCCACTCTCAGAGCCTTAGTAGGATGTGATTCTAGACCCTAGACTTTTACTCACTGAGGGAGCTATGACCCTAAAGCTTTGCATCACTGGTCTTTTGACCTTGGTGCCTTACCTCTTCTTCTTCTTCTTCTTCTTCTTTTGTTTTTCTGAAAAAAACCAATTGTTGCCTTATGTCTATTATCGATGTATGGAAGAATTTTAGAGTAGATTATAATCGTTATGGAATCCGTCTATATATCCACTGTGACTACTGGGACCAAGTTGACTTGTCAGGAGTCTTTCTTTCTGCGCCATCGTGGATTGCAATTTGCAAGGAGCCAACGGCCACAAATGTAGAATCCGGACAAGTGGGACTTCACCCCGGGAATAGGTTTCCTAGTGGGACTTCGCCCTGGGAATGGGTTTCCAAGTGGGACTTCGTCCCGGGAATATGTTTCCGAGTGGGACTTCACCCCGGGACTAGGGTTCAAACGTCAAAGGTATCTTGCTATCATGACCTTATCCACAAGGTTTTCATTTCACAGCCACAATGATAGGTTTCGGGGGTGTGTTGTTATGAAGACCATATCGACAACGTTACCATCTTCTCCAAAAAGAGAGAACTCCTTCAATCGTAAATGATGCAATGTCCGCCTGTTGGAGTCTAATGGCCAGGCGCCATTGGTGCTATCATGCTATGCTCATACATGGAAGTTGGGTAGGATGAACCTGATCCAAGAACCGATGGCGTTCATGCTAACCTGAGTTCAGGCGCTATTCCCGTCTTCCCACGAACAAAACACACCCTGATCATGAATGTATAAAACCAATGTTTGCAGTCCGTCCAGTCATGATGAGGGTGAGTTGTGTGTGAAGGAAGGTGGCAGAGCTATGGTTTTGGCAACATCGACGTGAAGGTGACCATTTCTTAAAATGACCAGGTGCATGCAGTCTTAGCATGGCCATAGCACCAATGAGGCCTAGCCCTGAGCACACCCGTGAGGCCTCACTGGTGCTATGGGCTAGGCCGCACTGGTGTTATGGCCATGCTAAGACTGCATATGGCCATGCTAAGACTGCTACGGCCATGCTATGGGCTAAGCCTCACTGGTGCTATGGCCATGCTATGGGCTAGGCCTCACTGGTGCTATGGCCATGCTATGGGCTAGGCCTCACTGGTGCTATGGCCATGCTATGGGCTAGGCCTCACTGGTGCTATGGCCATGCTAAGACTGCAAATGGCCATGCTCAGGGCTACTGTCTTCCCTCCAACAATTCGACTAGAACGCATATTCGTTCTATGCAAATCATCGATTTTTTTTGAAAAATCGAATACATCGCATATGCGTTTGTTCGAATCATCGATTTTATTTTCAAAAACTCAAATACAATGCATATGCGTTATGTTCGGGGGAAGACGGTAGGCCTCACTGGTGCTCAGGGCTCAGGCCTAACCCTGAGTGCAAAGATAGCACCCACAGGGCTTGGCCTTTAGCACAGACATAGCACCTACAGGCGTTGGCACTACGCATCAACATGGCATCCAGCACAGGGCCTGGCCCTAGTTCTCTGTACTAATTGTAGTTAGGGCTTCGATGGAACCTGAAAGATGTCATCCATGTGTGAGCCTCTAGGAGGGATCATAGGGACCGGACCCAACCGGATTCTATGACAGCCAGTCCCTACCCTTACCCTTAGCCCACAAGATGAGCCAGGGCATGAGTTCCGATTTGCATGGCAAAAACACATGAAGTGCTGAAGTTGTCTGTCCAACCAACAAAGCCTGTAAAATGATAGAGAAGAAAAAGACAAGATTGAGCTTATAATGAAGAAGAAGAAGAAGAAGAAGAAGAAGAAGAAGAAGAAGAAGAAGAAGAAGAAGAAGCTTGCAAACAAGAGGAAGACGATGAAGATGCAGCTTGCGAGAAGAGAAAGATGAAAAAGGAGCATCTTGCAAGAAGATGTAAATGAAGAAGCAGCTTGCAACAACAACAACAACAAAAAGAAACTTGCACGAGGAGAAGTAGTAGTAGGAGGAGGAGGCAGAAGAAGAAGAAGAAGAAGAAGAAGAAGAAGAAGAAGAAGAAGAAGAAGAAGAAGAAGAAGAAGAAGAAGAAGAGAAGCAACTTGCAAGAAGAGGAAGATGGAGGCGAAGCTTGCGAAAGAGAAGAAAAACAAAGTTGCAGGAGGAGGAGGAGGAGGAGGAGGAGGAGGAGGAGGAAGAAGAAGAAGAGGAAGAAGAAGAAGAAGAAGAAGAAGAAGAAGAAGAAGAAGAAGAAGAAGAAGAAGAAGAAGAAGAAGAAGGCTGAGGTTGTACAACGTACATCGGTTGCAGGGTCACAAGTTTCAGGCTGGAGTTGTCAGGAGGGTGATCACTGAAGTCTTAATGACTAAGATGGAGGGGGCGGAGTATGACACCTCGCGTTCACCTCAGGTAATTCTTTCCTGATCTAAATCAGTTTTCAGCATTTCTAAACTCCTTGCATTGCATTTGCATGTCTGAATGGTTGCATGTCCGTCCATGGTTCAGAAGAGTGATACGAGTACCAACGGCTGACTGACTCGGCAGTGTGGAGCCAACTCACCACTTGGTGAAAGTTTACACATGGTTTAGGAGCATATTCACTGAATCAAGTAACACATTTATGATGCATGTGACGAACTATCATCCATACTAAGACCGAGACCGAGACCTAGACCGAGACCTAGACCGGGACCTAGACCTAGACCAAGTCCTAGACCTAGACCTAGACCTAGACCTGGACCTAGACCTAGACCTAAACGGAGACCGAGACCGAGACTGAGACCGAGACTGAGACCGAGACTGAGACCGAGACCGAGACCGAGACTGAGACCGAGACTGAGACCGAGACCGAGACTGAGACCGAGGCCAAACAAGGTGGTCACGGCGGAGGAGGAGGACAACAAAAAGTTGGGAGCACAATTGAAGAATGAACAGACACATGCTCTTTTCTGCCTCTCCTTCTATGTGTTTTCTTCATGTTGTCCGCTTTGTGTGCACTGTGGCCTCTTCCCGCGATTCTCTGGTGTCAGAGTGCAGCACCTTTAAGATGTGCCAAATAGTCAGTGCTTGTTTGGTAGAAGTGCCTGTAATACATGCTCAACAATCATCCTGAGAAGGAGATCTCCAGAAAGGTGCTATTGCCTATCAGACAGCCTGGGGATCTTGCGGGCTGAGAGGAATTTTCCCTGGAATGGACAGCCAAGCCTGTCAATCCACCAGTACGTTGCCCCAGCCAACTTGAGAATCACGATTGAGCCTCTCCGAAAAAAAACGGAGGCTCGGGGCAACCGGAGCAAAATGGCTGGCAGCGCCAGCCAAAGCAAAAACAAAAGTGCCGCACTGGCGTTTTGGCAAAGCTTGGCGTGCAGTGGGAATCCCCCTTGTAGAAAGAGAGGCATGGGTGTACTGGTCCTGTAAGCGACATGCTGGCCTCATTGAGCCAAAAGCTATGAGGCTACACCAGTACATCCATGCCTCTTTTGTACTGGTCACTTCAAGGATGGGTGTAGTAGCCTCATAGCTTTGAGGCTTTTTTTTTTTTTGTTTTTGTTTTTGTTTTGAGACGATGCTCCAATCTATTCGCGGGGAGCAACACAGCTTTGAGACTACTACACCCATCGAGGCAAAGCTATGAGGCTACTACACCCATCGAGGAATCCACCTCGTACAAAAGAGGCATGGGTCTACTGGTCCTTTAAGTGACATGCTGGCCTCATTGAGGCAAAAAGCTATGAGGCTACACCCATCAGGAAACATTTAGCTGTTTTTTTCATCAGCAAAGGGCACAAATTCCAGCTAAGGTTTTTCCTTTCTTCTTCTTCTTCTTCTTCCAGAAACAGAACCTTAAGGTTCTGGCTCCATGTCCTTGGGGACATCCGTTAAAATTGGAACGACACAGAAAATGAAGATTAGCATGGCCCCTGCGATAGAAAAAAACAAAAAAGGTTCTGTGCCTCTGGTTCCATATCCGTTCTGGGGAGTGTCAGTCCAGTTCCTTTTCCATCGGCAACGGCGGCAAGTCAAATATTTACATTTGACGGAACGCTTGTACGCTTCTCTCCGTACTGGTTGGGAGACCCGAAGGGACGCATGGATTGCTTCTGAATGGAAGGATGTACCTCCCCTAACCCCTGCCTACCGTCTTCACCCGAATAGAACACCTGGTAAATATCGCCGTATCTGGGCTGAAAGTTGTGCCAAATACAGCTATAATGACCGGGCGTTCTATTCGGGTGAAGACGGTAGGTTAGCCTATTGATCTATTGTCTCCATTGTGGTTGCCCGCTAACTCAATTTGTTTTTGCTTCTAATCGTGAGCCGACTCTAAACCAGATTCGACTGCTCCTCTCAGCTGAATCCGCTGTCAGTTAGGCTTGACTTTCCCGAGCCTTGCTTATATCTGCCCTTGTGTACGGTGGGGCCTGTTGAGCTTTGCTGTCTTTCTGATGCTACTTTATTTCTATTTCTACTAATTTTCTAGTGCTATGGTAAGGGATGGGATCCTGGTGAGACCCGTTGTGAAGAGGGCTGTGGAGATAGGGATGGTGTGGCGAGGGGACTTAGGAGAGAGGATGCCTGAGGTGGGTGTTTGAAGAGTTTTGACTCTTGAGGGATAGAATGGCCTGTGATCTTAGGACAGGGGATAGGGTTTTATCAGGGTTTAGGGTTTAGGGTTTAGGGTACTAGAGGTATTTTAGGCTGAGTAAGGTCTCATGGTGTGACAATGCGACTGCAAGTTAGAAGAGTGAGAAGTTTGGAGTGTTGGGGACGAGGACAGAAGATGTTCAGAGCCGTACTAGTTCCATGATAATGCTGTTGGGTCCATAATGCTCGGCGGTGTTCGTAGCATGTTGGAGCCCTGTTCCCTGCGGCATTTTTCACAAAGGCCACACCTGACCTGGTCTTGCCGGTGTGGGGCCGACCACTCGCCATAGACAACCTGCTCCTTCATTCACTTTTCCGTGCAGCCCGACCCTTGAGAGTAGCCACCGTCTTTCGCTCCATTTTCTGCTTGCCACCGGTTGCTAGTCTGTTGCACTGGTGAGTATTCAGGATTTAATGAGGTGCTCCTTCTCCCTGTCCTTTCTCTCCCCCTTTCTCCCGCCCCTTTTTCTCCCCTCCCTCCATTTTTTTTCTTCCCCCTTCCTGCCCCTCGTGCAGAACTACCACATGCATACGGATGAGCATCACTGCATAAACAGACAAAAAAATAAGGTGCAAGTGTTCTCCTAGGGGAATGGATGTGCACGTATCCTGTGCTCATGTACGCACACACGTGTCAGGCCTGGCACCATTCGAACTACAGCAGTGAACCGGCCATGTCACCAAGACATGATAACATAATCATCTTGAAACATTACATATGGCAGATCGTAAAACGGGACCAAAAAAAAACATTATTTTTTTTTTTTTTCCAGTAGTGATAGTATGATGATATCTATGCACAAGGGTGTGGAAGGGGTTATTTACTTATTGTGGTGATTGTGTAAAGCACTCTGTTGCTTTGTGTAAGAGTGACGACCGTCTAGGAGAGCTAATGTGTCATCTCAGATGGAGTGTGTGAAAACACTGCAAAGTCATCTTTTCTGTGTGTGTGTGTGTGTGTGTGTGTGTGTGTGTGTGTGTGTGTGTGTGTGTGTGTGTGTGTGTGTGTGTGTGTGAAGCAGACGGGTATGTGGGTACTCCTTGCTACACCACACAGGTACGGGGCACCTTATTTTGATGTCTATCCATTATGTGCTGGAGAGGCTGTGGTTTATTTGGAGCTTTTTCCCACAACAGACACACACACTAGACTGCACGCTAGACTACACACAGATACACACAGTACTGAATGGTTCTATTATGATTCATGTTGCTGGCTAAAGAAGTGAAATTGTTTAATTGTTGGGCTGGCTCAACTCGAATCTACTCATCTAGGTGGAATAGGGGCTGTTGTGGTGGAAATTTAAAACATCCACACACACACACGCACGCACACGCACACGCACACGCACACGCACACGCACACACACACACACAGACACACACACACACTACCGTTCTTGTCAAGGGTTTGGATCGGCAGTCTGCTAGGATTGCAAGGTTGGTGTGAGTAAAGTCGACCACGTCTCTCTCTCTCAGGGGTGGGTATCGCTAACTCTGGGGGATGTGGTGAGAATCCTTATCCATCAGTTAACTGCATCCTGGGCAGACTGTCGGTCCAGGTTCAACCTCCTGATAAGTCAGTGAAAGTCCGTCGAAACAGTCTTGCACAGTCATGCTTTTTTTTAGTGTATAGCGAATATGACAACACACACACACACACACACACACACACACACACACACACACACACACACACACACACACACTCTGTTACATGCCCAGTTGGGCGATATATATATATATATATATATATATATATATATATATATATATATATATATATATATATATTTATATATCGTTTGTTGTCCTCTTCTCCCTCTCTGCCTACGGTTTACCGGGCAGTTCTATTTGACGATATATATATATATATATATATATATATATATATATATATCCGGTGAAACTCCGACGAAACAGTTCGTCACAGCCCCTCGTTTGTTGTCCTCTTCTCCCTCTCTGCCTACGGTTTACCGGGCAGTTCTATTTGACGATATATATGTATATATATCCAAGGATCCGCAATGTGATAAAAGGAGCAGTGCTAGTGGAATCTCAACAAGCAATGTAGTGCAGCGGAAGACTTAGATATAAGCCCTGACCTGACTGGGACTGACCTCTCTCACGTAGTACAAGACAGCGCAGCGGAATGCTAGAATACCAATGACTAACCCAATCAATGTCGCAATGCAGACCAAACATACATCATCCTCATCACAAGGTGTGAAGGGGCCTGGCGCTACACACAGGAAGAATGTGCCAGGTCCAGGACCATACACAGACGAAGAGGAGGGGATCAGACGAAGAAGAGGGGGGAAGATGGGAATGTCGTCAACACCAAGTCTCGGTACACGTCCCAGATAATCCCTCGTCAAATGTCTGAAGCCCAATGTCGATTCTGGATCCAAATGTCACCAAGCCCGCTCTCTCGTAGTCTGCTGATGCAGTGAAGTCAGGTAGCGAGAGGGTGAGAGGGAGATGGTGGACTGAGAAGAGGAAGAAGAAGAACTCTCTCTCTCTCTCTCATGTGCTTGAATTGCTTTTATTTGGATGGAATCTTGGTGCATTGTGCTCTCTGCTTGGGTACATGACTATCTTGACTACTTTGTGATTTTGCAACTTGGTTTTCTGTCTATCGCTCTTGCTCATAATCGTGCACTCAGATGACATGAGGCATCGGATGGTCTGAGATGGCCTAAGATGGTGGTCCTCGTCCTTGAGCGCTGGCCTCAGACCTTAGTGGTCTTGTGAGCCAGGTTGGCATCACCGTGAACTGGGTACTTAATGTCATTACGAACTTCCGGTGTGGCCTTACTGCCCACAGTGTTGGCAATCGTGTATGGTTCCAGATAGAGGGGTTGCAGTGGTCAGATAGAGGGGTTGCAGTGGTCAGATAGAGAGGTTGCAGTGGTCAGATAGAGGGGTTGCGATGGTTTGCACCTAAGGTACCCGAGCAAAAGGGCCAGCTTAGGCCGAACCCACATTGCTTTACCAGTTCTCTTAAACCACCAGTACACGGCCCCAGCCTTGTGGAGAAATCTTTCATCGCCTACGAAAATTTTGGAGGCTCGCGGCTACCAGACCACAATTTTGGAGTCCTTGATAAGTTGCTACCATGTCACAGGGGATATTGTCAAAACGAAGTTATATATAGTATGCCACTATACTACTAAGTGAATTGAATTGATAGTAATTTGATACAGCCTCATACTAGGCCCTCGGCTGTTGAAGATGTCTGGACAGCTGAAGGTACCATGGAGAAGCTAACCCACAAATAGATTGGAGCAATTGTAAAAAAAAAAACAAAACAAAAAAAAAAAAAAACTCATCGAAGCTTTAGACACAAACAAGAAGATATGCTCTGTGGAAAAGAAAGGAAAAATATATATATTGTTACGATCCTGGCCAATTTCCAAGAGCAAATTCACAAAGAAATACAAGGCCGTCCAATTGCAAAAAGAAATGAATGGACTCGAGAGGAGAGAGAGGTTAAGAAGAAGAAGAAAGAAAGAAGAAGAAGAAGAAGAAGATGTACGGCAGCAAAAGACCAATGATAATTCCCCCTTCTTCGCCAACCAACTCCTCCTTATCTCCTCCTCTCTCATTCAAACAACAAATAATAATAATGATGATGATGATGAATGGCTGAACCAGAATCGATGTCCGAGTCCCTCTTCTACTGCCAGCACAACAAGAGGTCCACCACAGCCATGCCCGCCCTCCTCTCTCTCTTCATCCAGGCCTAGGTTATGGCGGACTACTAAGGGCCTTGCCCTGACGTGCAAAAGACAACGCAAAAGCAGCCATGTCCTCTTCCTCTCAGGCCGCCGTGCCTGACTCTGCCTCAAAGCTTCTTGATGCAGCGCTAACCCAACGATGTAGCGCCTACCAGGGTGATCAAGATGCCGCCTACCATAGCCAGGTAAGTACCCCTGGTGCTCCCCTCTCCCTTCTTCCTCCTCCTCCTACCCGAGCCCATCCACCATAGCCAAGGTGGAGGGCTGGGCACTCCTCTTCCCACAGCGCTGCACACTAGCGCTCCTCCAGGCTCTCCAGCAGCCTGACGCCCGAACTTGCACGCAGCAACTGAGGAGGAGCACTTCACTCCTCCTGGAGATATAGCGGCCAACCTGCCTCTTGGGCGGTCACTTCCAGGCCGCGCGGCCTCCAAGCAACCGGTACCTCCTCCCTTTCAGAGGGAATTCAAACATCATTGCAGGCTCTGATATCGTCCGCGCATGCCCTAGGCTCAGACTACCTGGACTGGTACCCGCCTAGACCTAGCCTACTGCTACTGGGCCTCGAAAAATACTAAACTTTTGTCTTCTTCTGCTGGACCTACCTCTACACAAGTACTTGCTTGCCTACACTAACGCTAACCTACCCTTTTGGCCACTTGAGTGTTTTTCCCCGCGGCCCCCCCAAAGTCACGGCCACAGGTAAGTACCGGCCCTATGGGCCTCCCAAACAAACAAGTGCCCTGGCGGCCCACACACACTTTCAAGTCGACAAGCACTCAGACTGGCAAGTAGACAAGCAAACACACAGACACACACACACAGACACACACACACAGACTTAGAAAATTCAGCCAAAAGCGGGAATCTCAGCAAGGCATACATTCCAGCGTCAAACCTCAGGAATCAGCTGCGTTCTCAGTCTGTGTTTTGGGAACTTTTGGCAGGTCCTTACAATATATGCTCAGCTTGGCAGTTACATGGACATCGGAGAAATGTAGATGAACGAGTAGGTGGTACACATTCAGGATGCGCCGTCACTGGTCTCCCTTTTCCATATGTCCCTTGGGATGCTAACTCTGCCAAGCGTCAAATTGAAGGCCCAGTCAGTGGCCTCTCTTGCCAAACAAAAGCCCCCCAACTTCCCCCAAGGAATGTCAATACTCATAGTAATTCTGTACTCGAACATTGAATTACTTGCTTCTCGGTTTTCAAACAGACTGTCCGCGAGCTCACAGAGGTTATCAAGGATCGTGTGAAGGACTTGGGCTATAATCGATACAAGCTAATTGTGCAAGTGACTCTGGGGAAGAAAGCAGGTCAAGCATTTCGGCTGGCGTCGCGCTGCCTCTGGGACACTGACACTGACAACTGGGCATCGGATGCATTTGAAAACGAGAGTCTTTTCTGTGTCGTACAGGTACGTACGTGGAAACACCAAAGTAAAAGATTCGCACTGGCACAAACCTCTGAATTTCCGGACACAAAAAAATTCCCCCCTCGTCGTTAACTGTGGATCTCGTACACCTCTTCATGTTGATTGATAGGTTGAAAAATTGAAAAGTCAGTTAACCCTTTTTTCCTTTTTTTTTTTCAACCCGTCCCTAATGGTACTATTCTGACAATTACAACAGCATGGTTCGTTGGTCAGTCACCTTCTCTTTTCGTCTCTTTCACACAAAGTGGTTAATGGGACCCCCACTTTCAGCTCCTTGGTTAACTGGACTGAAGCTGAAATTAGGGTTTGGGGGAAAGGGTTCACAAGGGTTTGAAAACCACCGCAAGCTCTGGACTGGACCCTCCCCAAGGTAGCATACAATTTTCCGGCAGTGCAGCAGGAGGAAGTCAGGCCCTATTGCAGCTGCTACCTCAGGGAAAAGGAGGGCCTTCTGGGTAGTGGTGATGGCTTATCTTGTGCCCCCACAGATAAGGTGTGTTAGGGCACAACTCTCTCTCTCTCTCTGTTATGAACTTGGTTGTTTGACAGTTCACTTGCCACTCACACACAGAAGAACTCACACACGCCCATACATCCATGAAACAAAGGGGAGAAGGAGACAAAGTCCAACTGCACACAGACCAGAGATAAGCAGCGGAATAGCAATCATGCACAGAAGGGGAGAATACACTCAGTGTTTCTCTCTCTCTGACACACTCCCAACAACCAATCACAATTGACACTGCGAAGATCACAATTGGAAAGTAACCCAGATGATGAGCCAACTCAACACAATTAACCTCAATTATCGTTTCAGAGTTCAACCCAGTGTCTCGCCACCCCAGTACTACACACTCCACTCACCACTCCACTCTCAGAGTCTAGCGCTGCACTGAAACAGCCTCCTAGAGGCCAGCGCCACACACCCAGGTGAGGATCATGAACATCAATGTAGTCCCCAGTGCCGATGAGTCACTCTGACGATGAAGAAGGCAGCTATGGCTGCCCAACTGCTACCGCAGCAGCAGTACCCATATGTACCCAGTGAAGAGTCTCGATATAGCCCTGCCAACACAGATATCCCCCAGAGGGTAGATGCGCTGAGCACAGCCCCAGCTATGGCTGTCTCAGATAGGCCGGCTATGGCTGCTTCACTCCGCTGAAGTCTCAGGTGCCGCTGTAGACCTTCAGCGCTGCACAACTTGGTTGGCTCCAAACGCTGCATGCGAAAAATGAAAAGCCAAAAGTCCTCCCACTGTCGGTCCTACCCTACTTAACCTAAACTGGCCTAGACCCCACCAGGCCTACTGGACCGACCTACTGGACCGAAAATAGACAGACCGGTACCGTTTCACTTAGGGCCTCTAGGCCCTTACCCAACTACGGGCTCTACCCACTGTGGGCCCCTCTGGGCCGCTAGCATCGGGGAAGACTGGGACACTGCTGCAGCAGCATAGG